AGTCGACAGCGGAGCTAAAAATAGAAAGTAAGGAAAAAGTTTTGAAATGATTATACAAACGGATTTCAAATGTATTACAAAAGTGCAATGACAGCGGGAAAACCTGAAGCTGAAACACTGCTTTACATTTATGGTCAACGAACCCTCGCAGACGCTTTTTTTTTTTTAATTACAGGTACTTAAATTGGCTATCCTAATATATAGATCTAGGTACATTAAGTATCGAAAACAAGTCATAATAGTAAATCTTTATATTTGTCTGAATGTAATTCCTTTGAGATTTGTATAATTGATGAAGCTGTGAATATGAGACTGTGGTGGCCCCATGATTGATAAATTACAGTTCATTATTGAAAAGACCTCATTTCTTATTTTAGATTATATTATTTCTACTTTAAATGTGATGTTTTTATTAACCCTGAAATACAAAGTACTAAATGGAGAGTTATCAGACATTGTGCCAGAGCAAATAATTAACCTGTAGGTAACATGACTGAATAAATAGGATCAAGTTCCTTGTTATGTAACATATTGTTTCAGCGAGGATTCATACTAGAAAGCTTCTTCATTACTAGTACAACCCACATTTATGCCATGCATTACTTGTAAACCCAATGTTTTATCCATACTGTCATTACTTGTAAACCCAATGTTTTACCCAGACTGTCATTACTTGTAAACCAAATGTTTTACCCACTGTCATTACTTGCAAACTCAATGTTTTATTCACTGTCATTACTTGTAAACCCAATGTTTTAACCACTGTCATTACTTGTAAACCCAATGTTTTACCCACTGTCATTACTTGTAAACCCAATGTTTTACCCACTGTCATTACTTGTAAACCCAATTTTTTACCCACACTGTCATTACTTGTAAACCCAATGTTTTACCCAGACTGTCATTACTTGTAAACCTATGTTTTACCCACACTGTCATTACTTGTAAACCCAATGTTTTACCCACACTTTCATTACTTGTAAACCCAATGTTTTACCCACACTGTCATTACTTGTAAACCTAATGTTTTTAAACCCACTGTCATTACTTGTAAGCCCAATGTTTTACCCACTGTCATTACTTGTAAACCCAATGTTTTACCCACTGTCATTACTTGTTAACCCAATGTTTTACCCACACCGTCATTACTTGTAAACCCAATGTTTTACCCACTGTCATTACTTGTAAACCCAATGTTTTACCCACTGTCATTACTTGTAAACCCAATGTTTTACCAACTGTCATTACTTGTAAACCCAATGTTTTACCCACACTGTCATTACTTGTAAACCCAATGTTTTACCCACTGTCATTACTTGTAAACCCAATGTTTTACCCACACTGTCATTACTTGTAAACCCTATGTTTTACCCACACTGTCATTACTTGTAAACTCAATGTTTT